GTGCTTTTATTTTACGACAAAGTCTATGCTCGTGCTTTTATTTTACGTCAACGTCCATGCTCGTTTTTATTTTACGACAAAGTCCATGCTCGTTTTTATTTTACGACAAAGTCCATGCTCGTGTTTTTATTTTACGACAAAGTCCATGCTCGTGTTTTAATTTTACGACAAAGTCCACGCTCGTGTTTTTATTTTACGACAAAGTCCATGCTCGTGCTTTTATTTGACCTCCTGCAACAGTTTAAATGTTTAAATTAGCTTGACGCTGTAATCCTCACAGCCAGAGTCTGAAGTCACTTGCAGCAGGAGAGTCCATCGAGGGGGACGTTCCTCTGGAGTCCGTCTCTCACCTCGTGCAACAACACACCGTGTTGTGCACAAGTGCAGTGTTGAGTGCACGAGAGCAGAGCGTCATGCAGGCTGAAGGACCGGGTGCTCCGGCTCACACGCAACACGCACCGTTGGCTGCAGCAGCTCCGTGCTCGACCAGTTCAGGGAAAGTAAAAAGATGAAACGCAAACTGGTTTTGTGCATGAGTTGGTTTTAGTAGAAAGAAAGAAAAAAACGCTCCATGTACGACCAACAAACGTCAACAAACGTCAACAAACGTCAACAAATATGAAGACTGAAATTAAAATGCCATCAAATATTTTGTCAATTAGATTTTTTCTCTAAACTAAAGACCATTAGGATCTATAAAGTAAAACGTAAAGTTTTTTTAAATTCTTAATTCAGGCTGAGGTGTTTCTTGAAGATTAATAATAAAACATTATAAAACAAAGTGTTGAAGCTGTTACTTGAAGTGGTCTGTTAACGAGGGGCACCGATCTGTAAAAAGTCTGACCTGCTGAGTCCGACTTCAAAACAAGGCACTTTGAGTTATTTTATTGAAACACAAACCGTTGAACAAGATCCTGGAACCATTACAAACTGGTTTTAACTGGTCACGAGGCGGTGATCTGAAAAATATATGAAGTTCAGACAATTGTTGTTAAAAATACAAAAATTGTTAAAATTTGTTTCTCGTGCATCGACCGACTGATCGCTGCAGCCGTCAGAGACACCAGCTGTTAAAAGACAACATGTCTGGTGTTGGTCCGAGTCTGAGGACGGTCTGCTGCGTGTTGGACGTCAGAGTCTTTGAGACGAGGACAGTCTG